ATTAAAGAGCAAAATGCATGGCAAATTGAAATGCTGCCTCCACCATAAATGCCTGTTAGGCAGGTCAGCAGTTAACCTTGCAGTTCAAAAAGAAAGAAAAAAAAAAACTACAGTAAAGCTGTCGATCCATTCTGTCAAAATGGCAGATGGCTCTAATTCTTTGCTTCTGTGTACTGTTAAACCTTGCTTCAAGGCTTCTCTCTCTCTTTCTCTCATCTATATCAACATGTTGGCTCCTTTGGTGGACAAATGCGACTTCCTACCCTCCTCGCAAAAAAAACCTAACAGTTGTAATCAATAAGATATTCAAGAGGAAAAAATGCTAGCTAGGAGCATCCATCCACCTTTTCTATTCAGTTCAATTTGAAAGATAGCAGATCTGCTTCAAACCTGAGACTGTCAGAATCTGTTAAACCTGTGCTTCACATTTGTCTCCATAAACAGTAATAAAAAGAGGAACACCAAGTTTATCAGTTTAGTTTTGCTCTTACAATACTGAGAGAGAAGCTGGTCTCTGCTCCCAGGACTTACTGTATTTTTCACTGAACTCTCCTTGGTTAAAAAACTGAAATAATCTTGGGAATAGGCACTGGGCTCAGGACTATTCTCCCAGGGACTACATGCAGTAGTCACTAACCTGTTCCCTCTTGCTCTCCTTCTGGCCTCATGACTATTACACTCCTTGCTGCCCAGAGACCCAACTTCAACAGAATGAGAAATAGCTCTCCTAAACCTATCTTATAGTTGGTGTGCAAGTGACTCTAATGGACAATGGAGAATATAAATTTAAATCCTCTCAGTCTGAGAAGAGCATTGGAACTAGGGGTGTTTGTACATGTGCTCCAGGAGGCATGGGGGTTGCTTTAATTAGTGCAGCTCTGAAAGTTGTGCTAATTAAAAGTGCCTGGAGAATTCCCTCACTGACAAATGGCAGTGGGACACTTTGAACTAAAGCTTGTTGAATGAACTGTAGTTTAAAGCACCCTGCTATCATTTTTCAGTATGGGTTGCTGTTACACATGACGCTGGAAGCTGCTGAAGCATGTTAATTTTCACACTCCAGTAGCCTCAATTAGTCAAGTCTGCTCCAATGGGCTGGAATTATAGTGGATCAGAGCAGGATCCCTGCATGTGTATAGGAGCCGTAGGTTTCCCACTTCAGAGGTAAACAGTCTAATCACTAAAATATTGGGCATAAGATGTACAGCACTGTCACTGGGCAGTAATGTTCTACCTTCAGAGGAGCGTCTATGCATTCTGGATTGTAAGTGGACACAGATACCTAAGAAGCAGCCTGAGTCAGGTGCCTATGCTCAAAGAGGAATCTCAGAGTCACCAATATTCATGTGGGGGAAAATATATAATGCAGTTTCCAATAAGCAATTATGTAATAGATTCATAGATACTAGGGTTGGAAGGGACCTCAAAAGATCATCAAGTCTGACCCCCTGTCCTGGGCAGGAAAGAGTGCTGGGGTCAGATAACCCCAGCCAGATGCCTATCCAGCCTCCTGTTAAAGACCTGCAATGTAGGGGAGAGCACCACCTCCCTTGGAAGCCCATTCCAAATTCTGGCCAACCTTACCATGAAGAAGTTCTTCCTGATGTCTAGCCAAAATTTGCTGTCTGTCAGTTTGTGACCATTGGTCCTTGTTACCCAAAGAGGCACTCTGGTGAACAGAGCATTTCCAGTTCCTTGTGTTCCCCTAATGAATTTGTAGGCAGCCACAAGATCACCTCTCAGCCTTCTCTTGTAGGGGCTGAAGAGGTCCCGGTCCCTCAGTCTCTCCTTATAGGGCTTAGCCTGCAAACTCTTAACCATACGAGTGTCCCTCCTCTGGATGCTCTCAAGGTTATTCACATCCTTCTTAAAGTACAGTGCCCAAAACTGGATGCAGTACTCCAACTGTTGTCTGACCAATAGTCACACAGATGTGAAATATCACCTCCTTGGTTCTATTTGTCATGCATCTACTAATGCATGATAAAGTGCAGTTAGCTTTGCTGATGATTTTGTCACACTGACAACTCATGTTCATCTTGGAGTCCACTATGACTCCAAGATCCTTTGCCACTTCTGTACTCCTGAGAGGATCATTTCACAGCCAATAGGTGTGTTGGATATTTTTTGCACCCAAGGTGCAGCACTCTGCATTTGTCCTTGTTGAACCACATCCTATTGTGTTCCGCCCACTTTTCCAACCTGTCCAGGTCCACCTGCAATTGTTTCCTAACCTCTGGTGTGTTCACTTCACCCACAATTTGGTATTATCCACAAACATGGAGAGAGTACACTTTATACCCACATCCAAGTCACTGGCGAAGACATTGAAGAGTACAGGTCCAAGGACCGAACCCTGCAGGACCCCACTGCCCACATCCTTCCAGGTCGATACTAACTCATCCACCACCACTCTTTGTGTGTGACCCCCAAGCCAATGTGCTACCCACCAGACTGTGCAATCATCTAAGTCACAGCCTCTTAATTTATTTATAAGAATGGGATGAGATACCGTATCAAAGGCCTTCCTAAAATCCAAGTAAACAACATCCACCTCTACTCATGCATCTGAGTGTTTTGGGACCCAGTCATAAAAAAGAAACCAGATTAGTCAGGCATAATCTACCTGCTATGAATCTATATTTGAGAATTATACTTGACTAATTGCTTAGAGCTATGTCAGAGTAACATAGGGACTGTATATATTAGGGCTGTGCAAAACAGCACAGTTCCATTTTGATTTCCATTTTGAAATGCAAACAAGCACCAAACCTTGATAACCTAACTTCATCACCAGAAGCCAACTTCGTACAGCTCAAAACCCAAAACCTGGTAACAATCCTAGTTCCTCCACAAACTGCACACCAGAATCAATCAAAGACAACAATACCCAACTACCTTTGGGGGCACATTTCTCAGAAAAAAAACCTCTGTCTCCAGTCTATCAGGCTTGATCCTGGAAATGAATTTACAAACAGCAAGGCCTATGAACTTCCTAGGTAGTAGGTACAGAAACTCATGGACTCAGTATAGACAGTTAAATTCTGACACACTAAAACATGATGGACATCTGACTCCCCAGGTGCATCTGCACTTTTACCTGTGCTACTACGTCCCACTTCTCCACCCCCCACCCAAGCCTGTTCCTCACTCTCTGACACCTCCATTTCCATTTTCACTGACTGGCTTTCTTGCCTGCATTGCATGCCAGCCTTTGTCTTCTTTAGTATTCCTTCCATCCAGGTACAGCAGACCAACTGCAGGTGCTTCCTCAGCCTGACAAAGGGGTTTTCAACCCAAAGGCTGGCATCTCAGGCAGCTAAGCTGAGCTCACTTAGAGCCTCACAACTCCACTGCAACCATCAAGCCTCAGGCCTATCAAAGACATGATGGGTCTGAGCTTTCCCCAGCCAGGTGTTCATGAGTCTGGTAGCTGGAGGTTATGGCACCTCCTACTTGCCTTTCACCAAGGGGATCCTCAGTCTTGGCATTTCCTGGGGCTGCTGTGCCACCAGCAGTCCCACCACTCCTTCCCAACCCTGGCAGAGTGCAGTTTTAGTGGTCTTGCCCAGGATCTGGGGCCTCCTCCTTCCCCATAGCCCCATACCATACCTCCAAATTCATCCTGGCATGGAAGCTCAGCAGGGACATGTCCTTCTGCTGGTGGCTGGTGATGCAGTGAATGCCCCCTCCAGCTCTGAAAGCAGAGTATTAAGTGGCTTTTAAAAAATGAAAAAAGAAAATAGGTGTGGATAGATTGAGGAGGGTGGCATTCACTCCATTTGCACCTGGAGCTTGGGGAAGCCCAGCAACAGGAGGTTCACTTTGAGGAACACCAACTGCTCCAACAAACCAGGATCCAAGCAGGTGCAGTGGGGTGTCACTACATCCCCAGCAATGCTGAACACCCTTTCACTTGGAACACTGGTTGGTAGACAGGATAGATGTTCCCAGGCAACCGTGGCCAGAACCGGCCACATCCAGCTGTGGTTTGCCCAGTAGGCCAAGGGGTCGCACAGCAGTATCTCCATATCCTCGGTGTGATAGGCAGCCACCAAGGTTGTAGTGCTACCTGCCTGATGGTGGTGTCTGGGGTCTCTGGACCCCACCATAGAAGCCATGCCCTTGGCCCACACTGACAGCACCTGTGGTGGAGGAGGAGACTGGCTCATGAATAGTGTGCTACCATGGCATAGTGGATCCCCCTCTTCCATGTTCCCCATCTCCACCATTCTGCCTTCCTGACTCTCTTCACCAGCACCTCTGTCCACTGATTCAGGCTTTGGCTGCTACATACGTTGCCCTTCACCCTCGGGTCACACATAGTGACCACCATGTGAACCGTACTGGACCACAAGGGATCAAACCATTTCCTGATGCCCTCCTTCAGCTGCCTCACCAGTGATTGCACATCCAAGAACATTGATCCCCTGGAAGCTCTCCATTTGGCTCTGAAGTTCCCTCCCTCCTCCATAGCACTGGGATTAGAAGAGACTTCAGGGAAGGATCACAGTCACTGGCCAGTTGCACACGGCCAATATGGCGGCAGTCCTTCCTCTTCTTCCCAACTCTTCCCCCTTCCTCTCCTTACTTTCTGTTTCCCTGCAGGGAAGTCCAGCTTGAGTTTCAAAACTCAAAATGTTTTGAAATTTTAGAAACATTTTGACAGCCCTCATTTTGTTTCATAGATTTCATAGACATTAGGGCTAGAAGGGACCTCAGAAGATCATCGAGTCCAGCCCCCTGCCCCAGGGGCAGGAAGTCAGCAGGGGTCATAGGATCCCAGCAAGAAAAACACCAAGGTTTCTCCTAAAGGCGTTAAAAGTAGGTGCTTGAACCACCTCCGGCAGCAGGCCATTCCAGACCTTGGGGGCTGGGACAGTAAAGAAGTTCTTCCTTAAGACCAGCCTGAAACGATCTTGCAGAAGTTTATAACCATTCAACCTCACAATCCCTTGGGGTGCTCTGGTGAACAAACTTTCCACCAGGTCCTGGTGAACACCCCTTATGAACTTGTAGGTGCCCATCAGATCGCCCCTGAGCCTATGCTTTTCCAGGCTGAAGAGTCCCATGGCTCTCAGCCTCTAATCATAAAATCTGCTTTCTTGACCTCTGACCATGTGCGTGGCTCTCCTCTGGACTCTCTCAAGATTCTCCACATCCTTTTTGAATTGTGGAGCCCAAAAAGTGGATGCGTACTCCAGCTGCAGCCTCACCAAGGCCGAGTACAACAGGAGAATGAAGTCCTGGGATTTGCTTAAGAAGCATCTATGGATGCAAGCCAGCATTTTGCTCACTTTTCTGGCTGCAGCATTACATTGCAGGCTCATGTTCGTCTTGTGGTCAATCCTGACACCCAAGTCCCTCTCGTCATTAGTGCTAGTCAGTGTAGCACTGCCAAGCCTATAGACATGCTGCAGGCTTTTCCTCCCACGGTGGAGAACCTTGCATTTTTCAGTATTAAACATCACCAGGTTCTTGTCTGCCCATTTCCTGAGCCTGTCAAGGTCAGCCTGGATTACCCCCTGTCCTCAGGTGTGGATGTTTTACCCCAAAGTTTGGTATCATTGGCGAACTTGGCCAGTCCGCTTCTTACTCCAATGTCCACATCATTGATGAAGAGATTGAATAAAATAGGTCCAAGGACAGAGCCTTGAGGGACCCCACTGGTCACGGGGCACCATGACGATTGACTTCCGTCAACCACCACCCTCTGGGTCCGGGTTTCAAAGCTGTTTTGGAGCCCTTTGTTTCATTTCGATTTTGCTGTTTTGAGCTTAAAATGAGTGGAAACAGTGTTGAGACAAAACAGCGGACAAAATTTTGCACAGCCCTAGTACATTTGAAAGCTGTCATGAGGATTTTATTGAAATACTTTTTTATCTATCCTGATTAGCTTTGAACTAACCAGAAAAGATTTGATAACAGGGGAAGTTTAGCAAATACATTTTTTGGATCTTGCTAGTAATGAACCACATTCTCTGGACTGGCCATTATAAACTTCAAGCAAGCTTTTTGGCTCCTAAATTCCTATCTCATGCCTAGGTGAAATTTACAGCAGCCTCAGGGCTCTCATTTGGGATTCCAAGTCTGCCAGAAGAATTCTCAGGTGTACAGTAGAGCCAGTTTTGCAGCTGCTTGGTACTTCTTTATCCCAGGGTGTGAAATGTGTTCTCAGAGGTTATGCCAGAAGGTGAGAGCACATAATTTAAATGCTACACTATCAGTTTTGAAAAATCTGAGCATCTTACAACTGCACAGGTGTTCACTGCAACTGTCTTCAAGGGACAGATTCCAAGTCCAGACCCTCTGCATGGAAGTCCTGGTTTGCACAGAAGTAATCGTAATGCAGATTAGGATATGGAGTTGTTTCTTTCACTCAGTTATGTCAATAGGAGATTAGGCCACAAGGACTTCACAGAGGGGTCCTTGACTTTACAGAACTGAGCCCTAAATTCCATGTTTAATCCTCTTAGCAAGTTAGATACTTTACAATCAGTGTTGAGAGACTTGGAAGGAAACTCCACTTCCTCAGCAGAAAAAAAGGTTGCTAGATTTTGAGGCTTCAATGGAAAAAATGTAAAACAGAGAAAAATGAACCCTTCAGATAATGACAGAGAATAGCAGAAGGAAAGAAAAATCATCATTTCATGTTGACCTGGATTGCACCACTGGAGTCTTCACAAACTGTCTTACCTACTATATATTATGTATCCTTAGGCAGCCTCTGAAAACCCTGAATGACACCAACTCTGTTGTAAATGTAATTTGACTTGTAAAAAGCTTTTCAGGTGATTGAGTGCTTTTCTTTATACAACAGAATGAAATAAAATTTAATTTTGATCAAATATTTCTTTCATCTCTTTATTGTTTCAGTCCCCCTTCCCTTTCCACCTCCCCTCCCCCCATTCTTTTTAGTGTGTCAACTTCAGAGAAAGAAAATCATAGGGTGTGTACACACATGCAGGCATGTGCACTTGCAGCAGCTCAAATATCAGTCATACATATTTGTGCTGGAGATTTGTACCTCAGCACACGTGCCTGAACACACACTTTGGTGTGGGACAAGTTGTGCCACTTCAGGCAAACTGACCTTGCCCAGCTCCTCCTGGTTCTTCAGCCAGGGGGAGCTAGAGGTTGAGGCCAGCACCTGTGTTGGCCCCAGTAGTATAAAAAACTGCCCTAGTGAGCAGCTCAGGGCTACTTGCACTTAAGAGCTTCTGAGGCCCAGTCAGTTGGGATCTAGGAACACTAGTCACTTGTTCAAGCTGGACTGCAGAAGCAGCCCTAACCTAGAGTGGCCCTTGCATCCTCTACCCACTGTAGCAATCTGGCAGTGTGGGTTGCTGCCTGGCCATGATCTGCTGCCACCTGTGACAGCATCCTCCCCCTTGGCTGTTCACTTGCCAGACCCAAATGGGGGCCCAAGGCTGCTTGGGCTGTGGTACAGGCACTGCAGATGAGCTGTCTGCACCTCTGGACCAGCTGCCAGTGGGATGTGGCTGCACATCTGGCCTTTGGGCACTACTGCTATCATGTCTTCTGGTGTCCCCACTCTACTATCTGGGCAACTATCACCCAGAAGATGTGCCTCTTGCGGTGGCCTATTTTGAACTGTTGAAGTGTGTCCTCCTAGCCCCAAATGGCCAGGAGTTCAGCCACCTCATTTGTCCTCCAGCTGGGTCCCTGGTGCTGGCCCTGGGCAGGCTCCTCTGGCCAGGTCCCAGTGAGTGTAGGGTTTGTGGGGGTGAGGTTTGTGGTGGCCATGTGGGGCTTGTGCAGGGGTTTACAGTGGTGTGGGGTTTGTGGGGTTGTATGTGGGTGGAGGGGTTGTAGCATGGTTTGGGCATGTGGGGGGACTGTGTGGGGATGAGAGGGACTCCTCAGGAGGAGTGGATCCCGACCTACCCACCCACATGGCCCACAGTCCCTGTGCCTGGCACACAGCTCCCCCCCCCCCCCCC